ACCCCACCCTCCGCCCCTCTATCAACCAACAGTTTGTTCTCTCTGTTTCTGAGTCTGTTTCTGTTTTGCTTGCTCCTTTGTTTTGACTTTCAGATTCCACATTTAAGTGAAAGCAAATGGCACTTGTCTTTCCAATGGACAGAATGTGGATCACTCACATTTTAAGAGAAATGAGTACAATTAGATGAGTGTCTGCTTATCTAGTTAAGATACAATACTATTGTAGTAATAACCATAAGGCCCTTTGCAGTGTACAAATGACTTCTGCATCCAGCATCATAGTGTCCCATCAGCCCTGTGGAGTAGGTAGGCTCATCCCTGTCTTACAGAGGAGGAAACAAGGTACTTGCTTAGGACCACACAGTAGGGGCAGGTGGGGAGCAGGTCTGCCCATACTCCTAACCCGACCAGGAGAAGAGTTCTTGGGCTGAGAGAAGGAAAGGACAAGGAGGTTGAGGCTGGCATCATGACATGGGTGTGTGGGGTTGGGGACAGCCACAGCCAGCATGGGCGTGGTCTGGTTCTCACTATAATAGTTTATGTGTCCCCAGCAAAAGGCACCTACTATTGTTTAAGTACAATTTTGGGGGCTCAGAAGTACGTATCCAGGGAGACAGTGGGGGCCTGGAAAGGGAGAGAGAACAGTACCAAACTGATGGGTCACTGGGGCCCTTCCTGTACAGGTGAAGTTTTTTACTCACTTAGGGGGAAAGCAGCTTCTGAGAAAATAGGGCTTTTCCTCCCAAACTCAAAGTAAAACATGTGGGATTCAGGGACACCCTGCTGCTCTTAACAATTTGTTCTTAGCAACTATACCCTGCCATGCAGGAATTGGTGATGACATCCCAGTAAATGACCCAATGACAGCTAAATCAAAGCAGTGACCAACAGTGTGTCATAAAAGAAGTAACAGCCATAAACCCCTATCATAATGTAAAATATGAAACTATTCTTCAAGTCCTATAAAATGGACATAAATGTTTACTTCATACTATGATTACAGGAAGGGCCCCAGTTTGCTATAAAATCTAAAGATAGGTGATAAAATGACTACCTCCACCATATCATAAATTCAATCTAAACCAGTATACTACCTTTAATAAGCATTAATTAAAATTATATTTAAGAAGATTTTTTAAAAAATTATGTTACAATATGGAAGTGTTTTCAAAGGCAAAACTAATATCTGAGAGAGAAAAACTATTTTAAAAAAAGTGGGCTTGGGTGTCCCTTTTTTTTTTTTTTAGGCATTTTCCTGCAGCAAACAGGACCTTTCTGTTCCACCCTGCTGCCTTTGAGGCTGCGTCCCAGGCAGTAGCAGGAGAAACAGATGCTCTGGGAATGATGGCATGGCCCTAACCTTACCTGGTCTGTTGGACTGATGCGGAAGCTCAATTTACCCAGGTGAGAGGCAGTGGGGCTGGCAACTAGATGCGTGGCCCCTGGCCTGCCCTGTCCGAATCCTGACTTTCTACCCCTAGACCACGGGGTCGGCAAACTGCGGCTCGCGAGCCACATGTGGCTCTTTCAGGAAATGCAAGCTCATTGTTCACACCGATTAAAACCAATGAGAGCAATTTTTTTGTGTGAATTTTTCTTATTTTCATAAAGATATAATTAATACTATTACTTGTTATAATATTACTTTAAATTTTCCTTATTTGTAAAAATATATTTATGGCTCTTGAATAATTTTCAAATTATTCCATCTCAAAAGTTTGCTGACCCCTGCCCTAGACTAAAGGGACTGTAGCCTGTCCGAAGTGCAGTGTTCTCTCTACACAATGGGAATAACAGCAGTGATGGGACTTTTGTGAACGCGTACGGGTGATGCTTGCAAAGCTCTGAGCACAGTGCACAGCACCCCCTAAGGGCTTAATGAACGACACCGATGGCCACTGTTGAGCGATAGGACTGGGGTATAGCCCCACATCGGTCTCTCTCCAGCCATCGGAGGACCTGGTGCAAAATACCTGTTTTGTGATTTATAAGCTGTGTGGCATTAGACAAGTTACTTTCCTTGGGCCTCAGTTTCCTTTGCAAGGTGGATATTGAGACTCAGGTGAATTAGAAGTGAAAACATTTACTGAACTATGAAAAGTGATATTAGTGCCAGGTGCGTACTAGACTAGTCAGGGAGATCACTTCTTAAATTATGTAAATGTCTAAGTACGATGCCCTACCCCTGAAATTAATATAAAATAATAACATTGTAACTGAAAAATTAAAAAGGGGGGAAAGGGAAAGGAGACTAAGAGATTCAAATTTCCAGCTATAAAACAGATAAGTCACATGGATGTGACAGCATAGAGAATATAGTCAATTTATTGTGATAGCATGATATGGTGTCAGATGGTTGCTGGACTTGTCATGATGATCACTTCTTTAGGTATATAGATGTTGAATAACAATGGTGTACACCTGAAACAAATATAATGTATGTTAGCTCTATTTTAATAAAAATGTGTTTTTAAAAAAAGTAATATGAAGAGTTACGTGTTAGCTGGTGTTTGAATAATGTTGGTCCCTGTGTTAGGATTAGTCCAAGTTCACTATGGGGTTTAAAGTACGGAACCCTAACCCCTAGCTTCCTGGGAGAACAGACCAAGGAAAAGATCAACACCCGATAAATGCACAAGAGTTAGATAAGAAGGGGCATGGAGGGGGAGCTGACATGTATTGACACCTACTGTATGTCTGGCCGAATGACAGACATGTCAGAGATGCCATCCAGGGGTCCCAGCCCCCCAGCCTGTGACCTTGACCCATTTGATTCACTGCCCCTCCTCCACCCCAGGGCTAGAAATGCGAGTTCCCTGGGTATTTCGGGGCCTCAGCAGCCATCACTTGTGGTGTCCACCCCACTCCTCCTCTCTTGCTCTCATCCCATGCCTGTGCCCACGGCTTCTACCCAGCATGACCCCTGCTGTGTGAGGAGGCCATCCTCCCTGGCCAGGGTGCTGGCCACTGGAACACAGAACATTCCAGGTAGCGGGGGGGGGGGGGGCACCTGTCCCCGCCCCCATGCCACAGGCTGTCTCTGCTTCCGTCCACAGTTCTGTAAAACCTTTGAACTTCTGACTCTCAAGCTTTCTCCATCTCAGAGCTCAACCCAGTCCCAGGCGCCAGGCGAGAAGAGGACCCATGTCATCTCTTCCTCTGCTCTCCCCTCAGCCCAGACCCCCCAACCCGACATCTTCTCTCCCTCTTTACAAAACAAAAGAGTGTGACATGTCAGTGGATATCAAGGGCACTGGAGAACATGGATGGGAGTGTCATCTGCCCTGCTTGTGTCTGGACTCAGGCTCAGCAATCTCTAAACACTGTACATCCCTACAAAGATGTTGTGAGATAGACGTTATGAATCCATTTTATAAATGAAGACACCAAAGCTCAGAGAGGAAAAACTGGGCCAAGGATTTTAGATAGTGAGTGGCTAAGGTGGGTTTCAGACGCAGGGCTGTTTGGCACCACCCTGATTCTGGAAGCCAATGGGGTGAAGCCCTGACAGTGTCAGGGTGGGCTGTGGGCAGGTGGCAGGGGTCTTCTGGGTCCCTTCCCCCTGGCCACACAGGCATTTGCTGATGCTCCCTGGCCTGACTTTCAAGCCCATCTGATGGGTCCTTCCAGCCTTGGGTTTAATGATGTATACCCTTGAGAAAGTCAAGTAATTCGCCTCTCATGGAAGCCCAGTCTCCTCAGCTGCTCAGTACTTCAAGAGGCAGCGTGAGGTTAATTAAGGTGGACTGCCAGTCCTTGGATAATAGTGGTAAAGTGGCCTTAATCTGGATCTGCGGGAGAACTTGCTTCCACCCTTTTTCCCTGCAAATTCTTTCTCTTATTATTTTCTGGCTCTCACACGTAAAATGCCCAAGATAATGCACCTTCTGTCTTCATTTCCTTCCCTGCCCTTTGTGTCTCTGAATCCTCAAATCACATGCCACACCAGCCAGTTTAGCATAAGAAATTAAACTAATGTTCATGCTCTAACTCTAGATGTAAATGCCTCTATTAATAATTTAAAGCACATTTATTTATGCAGTTTGATATTTTTCAGGTTCAGAGAAGCAATTAAGTTTTGCCCAAGTTGCTGATCAGCAAACAGTGTCTCCTGCACCTTCGGCCCTCCAAAGTGGCCGGGAGAGAGAATCGGGGGGACTGCCTGGCCAGATGGCGACTCCCCTCCTCAGCCCTCTGGTCTGCCTACTGCCTCTGCGAGACACCGCTTTCTAAAAATGGAAGAGAGCACATGTATTTGCTTGGGCCCATCTCAAGCAAGGCCAATTTATTTCTTAGACTTGCCTTGGGTTATTAAACTTGAAGACCTTCACAGGTCCTAGCTGCTGAAAGTTCCTTCCCTCGACGAGTTCCTGGGAAGACTGTCATCATCAGAAAGCCACTTTTAACTCTTACCTCGGTAAGCCATCTCCCACGACTTAAGGGCTTGCCTGCCAGGGGGGGAGAAGAGCTGGCTTTTCCATGTGGATGACCTGGCCCATGTCTGCTCACCTCCTTTTCCTTATCTGAAACATGAGAGAATGATATTTACCATAATCGGGCTGCTGTGAAGGTTGAGTAGCAAGGTAATACGCAATAGCGCTTAGCGGACCTCCCCACCACCTCCTTCAGATGACCTTGTCCTTGCTCCTGCTTTGCTTGGGCTGAGCCCCCTGCCTGTGCCCCTGTCCTTCCTTCTCATCTCCATAGCTCAACTCCACCCACGCTTTGTAATAACCCTATTTTCTACTCACTTACCACTTGGTACTATCCAATGAGCTTTTGCATAACTGATATTTGATCACTGGTAAAAGTATTTTATGCAAGATGGAATGCGAGTTCCCAGGAGGTGTGACTTCCTAGAGCCAGGTTAGATTTGAGAAATGGACAATCATCCTAAGCCCTGTGCACCGGGGACTGTGTGAGATGCTATGGGGTGGAGGTGGGTTCACACCAGCATGACTGGGGTTTGTTTCCAGGATCTCACAGCCTAGTGGGCCAGAGAAAGTGGTGTCCCCGGGACCCTGCTCTGCTCAGCTTGAGCTGAATGTTGAGAAACAGGGCAGGGGTCCAGGGTCAAGCTTGACTGTGAGGTCTTGGGCACGTCTTATCAATCCGAGCCTCAGACTCCAAGATCAGATCTTCCCCACCCACGTTCTCCCATGGAACCTGGAACCATCCTGACTTCCCTCTCCCTCATCCCCACCTGTACTGCATCACCCATTCTTGTTGATTTCATATCTCTAGACGGCACCCACTTCTCTTCCTTTTACAGTTCCCACCCTCCTCTAAAGCAGCAGCTTCTCTTGTGTGGACGCCTGCAACAGTTCCGACAGGTCTCCTTGCTGACGCCTCTGGCCCCACCAACCAGTCTCCCACCTGCCTGCCAGAGGAAGTTTTAAAACCTCAAGGAACCCTCCTCTCCACGCAGACACATTTAAAAGCTCCAAAGCCTCCTCATTGCCCCAGCATCAAGGCTAAGTTTTATCATACCCCATAACTCACCACATGGTGAGCCACTGCAACAGCCCTGGCACCCGGGTCTCCCATTCCTCTGCGCTATTCCTGCTTTAATGTCACACTGGCCTTTCCCCAGTCTCTGGGACTCATCATGTACCTTCCTGTGTCTTTCTTGTGTCTCCTGCTCCTTTTCTGTGTCTCCTCCTCTCCCATCCCTCCCCCCACCTATTGTCTGTTTAATGCCCGCTATTGCTCCTTTCTCAGGGCCCTCCAGATAATCCCTTTTATCAAATGCTTCCATGTCACCCCTTTCTTGTCTCTCACAGCCCTTATCACAGCCTGTGATGCCAGGTTTATGTCTGTGATTGTTTGCTTACTGCCCATGTCCTCCACTGGCAACTAGTAAACTTCCTGAGTTCAGGCATCTTATCTATCTCACTCTCCACTGTGTGCCCAGCACCTCACATGGTGAATGGCACACAGTGGGCGTTTAATGCACATATGGGAATATATAGATTCGCATGAATTGTGTGAGGCATTTGGATTGGTTCAATTCTGCAGCGACACCATGAACAGAGGACAACCCCCAAGCACTGTGTTGGTGGAGCATCTTGGAACTCCTCCATTTGTGCTCCCAGCTGTCACTGTAGATGATGCCCGGGGCGGTGGGGAGGGGGCGGGGAAAAGAGGGGGAGGACGTCTGGAGGTGTCCCAGATTAGGGAATGTGGGCTCACACAGAGAGGCAGTGTGACTGGAAATGGCACTGGGCTGGAAGTCAGGAGAGCTGGTTTTTAACACGGTTCTACTCTGGGGCACATGTCTTTGAGCAACTTCTCGGAGCCCCCGTATTGTCATCTGAACTGAGGATAGTCTCTGCCTTCCATGGTGAGTATGAAAGTCTAAGATACTGTCATGCTTAAAAGGGACTGGCCTGTCTTTTTTTCCTGTCTCTGTCCTTCCCATTATTGTTCCACAAGGTCAAGTGAGGGAACCAGTTAGGCCAAGCGAGGGATACGCTGGGCAAGCAGACTTCGCTTTTGCAGCCTTCCATGCACTTACCACGAGCAGAGATTCTCTTATTTATTTGATCATTTACTTGCCTCCCCTGAGAAGAATATAAACTGTGACGAGCTC